CTCAGTAGGCCAGACCTTTGGCACCCCTGTTTTTAAGCAATAATAGATGTAAGATACATTGGTATACTCTGCTGCAAAAGAAAACTGGCTCACCCTGTGCCTCAAGACCTTTTTGGCCCTATACCTCCCCAACTGCAAGGAGGAACCTTTACAAGCAGTGAACAACCCACCATCAAAGATACAGAAAAAAAATGCTTGCATTTTGTGGATTTAACATATGCAAACAGATCCCTTTCACATGCTAGCACTATGGCAAAATATTCAAAATATGAACCGCACGAGAAACAATAGGGACAAGTCACCAAATATCACATATTCCAACACTTGCAGAGAACATGTAATTAACATCTGAACCCTCCAGCAGCGGTCAGTCGTTCGCAGGTGTGCCCCAAATCAAGTCCTGCACCCCCTCCAAGTGCTACTTGGTTCTCAGCTCCAATCCAAAGTATACCTGATAGAGCTTGCTCCTTGGGGAGCTGGAATGGAGGCAGAGGCTCAAGTTTCTGGCTGCGTAAAGGAGAGCAGGGGCAGGATGCTGCTGTGAGAGAGGTGAGGCTGTCAAGAAGTAGGCAAACCCTTCTCTGGCTCTGCAACCACTGTGGTTTTGTATGGTGAGCAAGGATCCAAAGCCCTGAATTTGGCAGCAGCTGCAGGACTAAAGAAAGGATAACTTGGCTCTGGGCAGTGACACTTGACACCTCCTCTTACAGCAGCTGTCCTTTCCCCACTCTACCTCACATGGCTGGAGGCTCAACCCCCGTGCCTCCATTCCAGTGCCTCCCTTTACTGTGTGCCTAGAGCTTGCATGCCACACCGCAGCTGCCAGTGCCAGTTATGACCTGCATGCCATGGGCTGGCCACCCCTGCTCTATTGCCGATGTGGAACCAAAACCTGCAGTGGGAACACTTCTATTTCCAGAGCTGATTAGATTCAGTTTTCAGTCCATCTAAGCCAAGGGGAGTATCAACAACACACATAAGAACAGCCCCAAAATTATGGTCTAGGAAACATGTTTTGGTGGCTACAGGTCGCAGTCTCCCCTGACACTTTGCATTTCTAACTCTTTTGATGGGCCTCTTGTTTCTTCAGTATACAGGAGCCTGGAGGCCTATAAAAGTAGGTGGAAAAGAGGAGGAAGAACAATTGCCAATATTTCTATTTTTACTAGGTGCTACTGCTACATAAGAGGAAGAGAGAAAGCAGAGGCTGTCCTGAAAGACCAAAGTCCCCAGTGGGACTAGGGGCTATTAATATCTTTCACTCATTGTGTGTTTTCCACATGAATAGTTGCTGGTGACACACATCCTTGTGGGAAAGCATTTGCAAAAAGCAGAAGCCCCCCAAAGGAGGTTTTCTAACGGAGTACATAAAAGCAAAGGGCTCACCCACTTGATACAACAGTAAAACATAAGCAGGGGAATTGTTACTCTCTCGATTCACAGGGAAGTTACATGGATAAATCCGATTTTCACATGGGGAACAGACCCCAAGCAACCCCACACTTCGTACATTTCAGGTTAAAATCCAGTTCATGTCTTGGCACAGTTTTGACTACTCCATTATTAGGATGCAAAAGCTGTATGCCACACAACATCAGAGGATGAAAAAATATCAGGACTGTTTGTTTCTAAAAATGTTTTAGAACAGTCATACTACATCTGTCATTTTGTGCCCACTACTGCATGTTCTTTAATCATACTGCGCAACCCTAACTGCAGCTGTCTGATAGATTCAGAAATAATACATCTCTTTCTGACTTCAAGAGTTCACTTTGGTTAGGTAACTGAGGTGGCTTCAGGATTCCTCTGCTTCATCCTCTTTCCCACGGGCACCTACAGATCGGGGGCCATATTTTATTCCACCTTTTAGGCGTTTTAGTGGCCTTAGGCACATAAGTGTGATCCTATGCCACCCTGCTCGAATCCATGGAAACACAACAAACTGAGCAGGGGCAGCATCCATCTTTTGTGTTAACTGGTTTTCAGTGTATGATCACACTTAAGTGCCTAATTCCACTTAAGTGATTAATATGTGGAATAGGATTTGACCCTTTGTGCATTCAGGTTTTGGATTTTCAAAGGGGCTGCACATATACCCACTGTGATGAACCAACTAGGCCCTTTTAAAAGGTGCAATGCAAATCTATATTAAGTAAATTTTATGTGTTGAATTTGCTAAAAAGTAGAGGTAAGAGAGGTATTCAACTCATGTGGTTTTAAACCCACCCTGTTTTAAATCCTCCCTCCCCATTTTTTTGCATCCCAAAGTCTGGATTCTCAGGGCGTGTCTGCACATGAAAGTACTCCTGGCCCCAAATGGCCAGGAGGTCAGCTACCTCCAGCTGGGTCCAAGTTGCTAGCTCTGAGCAGGCTCCTCTGCCTGGGTCCTGCCACTTGCCTCCCTAGCAGGAATTTTGATGTTCCCTATTTGAAAACTAAAAAATCCCTGATAAAAAAACCCCAAAGTAACTGCAAGACGTACATGCGCGTTCATGTGGAAACGCCCTGAGAGGCTTTTGTTCCAATGTGGTAGCATGACCAATATTCCTATGAGCATAGGAGGGTTTGGACTTCTGAAGAAAGGGCCAAAAAAGTCCCTTTAAAAATATTTTATTTGCCAGAGATTTAGGGCCACGCTACAGGCTAGGCTTCTAAACACCAGCACTACCAGGGTTCAACTGGAGCTAGGACACCACAGCTCCACATCTGGGGTATGTGTGAACAGAATCAGGAATTAGAGAGATCACAAAATTAGTCTGAACGCTATTTCAGTGATGAAGACTTCTGACCACTATTTAAAGAAGTTAGCATTTAATCCTTCTTTAATGCCTTTCACACAAATGCCCAAGCAGTTTCTATAAGGTGAACTAGGGCATGGAGGGAAGAGGCATGGTTGTCCTAAAAAGCACTTCAAGGACATCTGGATTTTTTTTAGTGTTCTAGGTTTCAGTTGCTCAACTTGAGAAGGTGGGCCTGATGTTCACATGTTCAAGGCACTTACAGCTGAAGTCAATGGGAGCTTCAGATGCACAGTCCGTGCAGAGATGAGCCACCAAAAGCCTTCAGCTGAGGTACCCATGATGAATGGCCAATTGTGAAAATTTGGATGGCTCCCAAATTCTCTTTGGGGCCGGAGGAAGAGTTTCTATCAGAGGACACCAGCAGAAACTGCCTTTTTCCCCTCCATTATCCACATTTTGCTCCCTGTCAAGTTCATAGTCAGTTTTCTTTTTCTCCACATGTCCCATATATTTACTGAAACCAGGTCCTCTTTTACTTCCCATCCTTTATCATATCCTTCCTTAGTCCTGCTATTTCTCCCACTTTAGTTTCCCCATTCTCCTCTGCAAGGTATACAGGTTTGTCGGCCCATAACCCCAGGAGGGCTAAGATTTGTCTACAGAGCTAGAATTTCCAGTGCATTTTTTTGCTGTTGAGCCTCGGCTTTATTTCCTGCTGCATTACACCTACTAATTTCCTGTTAGATGGTGATCGGCTACTTGAAGGCACTGTGATAATTCGAGGAAAAAAATGCTGGAACTTCACCATAACCTTCTCTCCTTGTTTTCATTATCATCTGCTCTGGCAGTTGGTCACTTGCTGCAGGGTATGATGACCCTAGGGCTATATGAGAACATAGTCCAGCAGTTAGCAAACATTAGAAGCTTCTTTCCCTGTAACAAAGGAAGGAAAACTGCTTGCTTTGGTGTACATTAATATGAGAGATGGATGGACTTTCTCCGATGGGTAGCAGTTATGGCAGGGGTTGCACTAAATGTTCTACTCATTTGAACAATCTGGGTCAAACATTTTATGCCTAAATTGCTATCACAGGCTGAAGCAGACATAAAAGACTGTAACCGTGTGGATGTTCACTCCCAATATTCTACTGCAGTAAATCAAATTATGTCTTGCTACATTGTGTCTGATAAACATCAGATGTATGGCCACTGTGTAATAGGAGATGGCATATAACCTAATTTAACTTCTGGTTAAATTAAGTTGGGTATATCTGCCCAATATGTTAGTACCAATGCGTTTTGCATAGACAGTGACTGCAGACATACTAGTTCCAAAAGATTCCAACAGAATTTTTCTTTTCCATTTAGAACAGGTTATTAAAAATACTGAAGACTTGGGTGAGAGACAAAGGATGGTACAACACTTAGCTTGGCCCTGACTAGGACTCGGAGAGCTCAAGTTCAACTCTTTGATCTGCTGCAGGCTTCCTACATGACCTTTGCCTCTGGGCATCACTTCTCTATGTGATAATATGGGGATAATGGGGGCAAAAAAAATTTCAGTCAAGAATGTTATGAAGATAAGTACATTCAATTATAAGATACACATATGAGTATGAATATAGACAGCTATGAGGTCTGTACTGCATTATTTTAGACAGGGGCAATGCTGAAAACTGTTTCCTACCCATCATTCTGAAATATGGTCATTTTACATTCATATAACACTGATCAAAATGTAAATGAATATTAAAGACAACATCAATAACCAAGTCCTTTATGATTGTATATAGAGTGTAAATTATAAGCCAGCACATTTTAGCCGCTTGAGCTCAAGTTGAGAGCCAAGAGCTCACAAATTCTGCCAGCTCCAAAAACTAAGTCCACATTTGGAAAGCAGAGATTGTATTTACCCTCCAGCTGACTGAGAACTATTTGCAAAGGCACCTTGGAAAAAAAAAGGTGCCACAATTTGGCACTAGGTGTTAGGTTTATAATAACATAGGATCAGGAGTGATTTCCTGGGTAATCAAGTTCATTCCCCAGCAACCTCAGGGAGCCATTTTACAAAGTGTGATATTAGAGATATTTCTGTGATGGATTTCTAAGCTCTTAAATAAACTTCTGCCATTATTTAATACGAACATGAAAGCATTAACCCACTTCCAGTACAGATCAGTTTTCAAAGCTTTGGTTAAAGTCTTGCTCAGGTAGGCCTGATGGAGACTACTACCATGGGGCCACATGGTACACAAATACCTGAATAGCTCCTCAGTGTCCTCATCAAGGCTGGTGCTTAATCTTTGCTCTTTCTGTCCACAGGCAGTTGGCAGCAGTAGTGAGTCACCAAGTTTAACAGTCCCACCAAGGTCTGGGTCTTCAAATAACTTCAGGTCTAAAGAAGGAACCAGCAGAAAGTGTTAGTTACCGTACATGACATAAAGCAACACCAACACAGATGCCAGCAAAGGAAGCCAGCCATGTATTGCACTGATTTTTATACAAAACTTCCATTTTAAAGTAAAAATCCACAAAGTGCAAGGAAATAAATTGTTGACATATTGCACTTGCTGGGCCTCTAAATCTATTCCCTTCAGGAGCTCAGGAATAGTTTGTACCCAAGCCTGCTTACATCTCGCTTTTCAACATAAGACAGATGCCCATAAAAACTGTAAATCCAAGTTCCAACAGTATATGAATACTGTAATTCAGGTCCTACTGTTTTAAATCTCCAGCTGATTTTGCACCAGGTAAAAATCTGGCCTAAAATTGATGAGTCAGAATCAAAGTTTAACCAATCCATTTTAAATGCCCAAAGCCATTTTTAAAACTTTAACTCTACAGATCAGAGATAGAACTGATTTACTATCTTTGACTGATGAGTCCTTCTTGGAACCGGTGGATGAAAAATCTTTTACTGGGCCAAACAGTCCTTCATCTGGATCGATTTCATCATCAAAAATGGTTAACTTGGGCCTGTCTTCCTTGGCTGGAGGAGGTGGGGGCTTCTTCAGTTTTTTAGATCTAAAAAAAGACAAGAACAAAATTCAGCTGCTATTGTGAAACAAGCATTCTCAAGGAACTAGAACTGAAAGCATTCTGTTTATAGAGCTGCATATTCAAAATTACAATCTTTTCACATTTGGTTTAAATTGTTTTATTCTTTGCAGGATTTTCAGTTTTGCAGGGAATAGCAGTGGAAACATCATCAATTCCAGTAGCCACCACTGGAACAGCACCAGAGAAAAAAGAAATGGTTTGATAAGGAGCAGAGTGTAGGCCATCCAGTCTGTTCACTAATCAACTTGGATATGATACAGGCACACATTAAATATACCAAATGTTTCAAAACCTTCATTAAAACCTATTCCCCAGTCACCATACCGTGCATGTCCAGGGAAAACAGGAGAGAATATAGCACCGCAACCTCATGAGTTCCAAGATGGATGTTGTACACAGGGGCCCTTCTTTACAGCTTACCACACCTTTGGCTGAAGGGAAGGCAGACCCAGTGGTTGCTAAGCCCTACATCACACTGACTGCTGGAGAAAGTACCCCAGGTCATGAATTTTACTCAAACATCTATGGGACCCAGGGCTCAATCAGAAGCATGGGTGGGGACTGGAGCAGGGGCTGGGGGTGTTGCACAGCCAAGTCAGTGCACGGGGCCTGGAGCAAGGAAGCCCTGCACTAGCTGCACCGCCATGGTGAGGCATCCCCGACAGCCTGGCAGCAGTGGGGGTGGTGGCAGCATGGAGTTGTGCACCCCACCGCTGCCCACTAGGCAGGAGGTGTGCAACCAGTGTGGGGCTCTCAGGGGAAAGGCAGCAGGGCAAGGAGCCCCAAACCCTCACCAGGCAGCGCACAGCGGGCAGCCCATATCCATCTCTCTGCTCCACTTAGCTCTGTCAGCCAGGTAGGGGAAGGGGTGGTAAAATAGGCATGTGTTGTGTCTTGATGCCCACCTTGTTGGGGTCATCTGAGCCCAGAAGCCTTTCCTGCCAAAGTGCAGTGGAGGGGCAATGATCTGTAAGATTCCCTCCAGCCCCTGACATCTATGAAACTATAATTCCCCCTGCAAAGTGAGAGCATGTGTGATCCCTGACACTCCCTCCCCACAGCTGCAATGTCTGCCCTCGCAGACACCTCCATCCCCACCACTGCACCACACAGGCATGGACCCCCCCCCGTGCTGCCCCGCTCCCACCCTCGGCTCCACATGCCACTCGCTACATTGCCCCACCGCCAGGAGGAGAGGTTGCTGTCGCAGTGAGAGCATGATGGCAGCATCAGTGGCTGGGCAGGAGCTCAGGGACCGCAGCATAACCCCTTGTGAGCTGTACGTGGCTGATGGGCTGCCACTTAGACAAACCTCTGCCTTAGAGCATCACAGCGTTTGCACGCAACGTCCAGAACCGTGAACCCACAACCTTAACAGACGTGTGCTAGCAAGTTGCCACAGCAGTCCCAGTAGACGTCTCTCACACAAGAGAAAAATCTCCTTTACCTACCCACTCAGGTTTCAACCTGTAGCAAAACTGATCGGCACCCAACGTGTCATTACCCTCCAAAGAACAAGGGACTGAGCTCCATAACAACAGGTGCATGCCAAGCGTGTTAAAAGGCCCAGTAAAATACTCTTTGGATTACAGCCACACGCTGAGAGCAGAGTCCAATTACTTTATAAGAAGTTTATAATAAACAAGACAAAAGCCTGGGTGGTGCGTTCCCACCGGCAATTCAGCTCCTAGCAACAAGCACTTGAGGGGAGCACATAAGACCCACACGTAATGTTTAATCACAGCAAGCCCTGGAGACGCATTGTGGTCAGAGGAACGGATGAGGAAGCGTTTGCTGAGCTCTCTATTCGGTCCGTGTTTTGATGCAGTGAGAAGGAGCCATAAAAGGTGTACGAGAGGGAAGGGCAGGTGGTTACAACACAGGCCTGGGTAACCTGGGTTCAATTCCTAATCAGCTGTAACTCTTGCGTGGTACTGGGCAAGTCTCCTAGGGCCAGGCTGTCTTTGTAGGCACCTAGGCTTCACACGGCACATGGCTGCCAATGGACGGGGTAAGTACTGACGATCCCTGCACAATGACCAGGGAGGACTTGGCTGATCCAGAGTTCCTGGGGCAGAGCAGGGGGCTGCCTACTGCTAGGTAACAAAAATGCAAGGCCCATGGATGTGCCTGAGGTTCACACTATGGCTGCCAGTCACTTGGGTCCTGGAGCATCCGGGGGGAAGCACTGACATGCACCAATAACACCGAGTTCAGTACAAAGCACAGCAGTCACTCCCACTGTGGGAGTCCCACCTCTCGCACAACAGCCTCGGGGCTACGAGGTTAACCCAGATAGTGGGAGACCCCGGTTTAGGCCCTCAAGGGGCAAGAAGGAAAGGGAACAAGGGGGAGCAGGTTTCCGTGGAGACAGCTAATGAGTCACGCTCCACCCGGGGTTGAATCACCCCTCGGACAACCATCTGATGTGTCTGCCAGAGGTCAACTCTCCCTCAAAGAGAGGGAGCCTTGAGAGCAGCAGGCAGGCACCAGGAAGGGCTCTGCAAAAGTCTGCGAATGAATTTCTAGACGGCCCAAATGCCAGCATCTTGCCTTGACTCTTGGCCCCTGTTCTTCAACTCCTGGCATCTTAGTCTGGCTTCCAGCCCTTGGCTTGTGCTAACTACAGCGCTCAGCTCCTCACTCTAGGGCCTCTGTGGCTTCCTGATCCCAGTTTGAATTGCAGCTTCCTGATTCTGGATCCTGGACCTTTGCTCATTTCTAGCAATGACTCTGGCTCCCTGACCCCGGCCCATTCCTGATCACATCTTTGGCCTCCAGATGCTGTCCTGACTAGACCTGGGCTCCTGATGCTTGGCCCTGATTGCCTCCATCCCAGTTGTGACAACAGCTCTTCCTTAGTAAGGGGGAAACCGTGGGTTCTCGTTCCTTCTTCCTGGGCTGTTTTATCCTAGATAGTCACTAGATTTATGGCAGATAGAGCCTGGAGAGCACAGATCAGAGTCCAGCACTCCTACTCTCCCTAAGAGCACGCCCTACTCAAGAGGCTATGAAATCATCCTGTCTCTTGTTTGTTCACCTTCTGCTCCTACAACACTTGTATTTTTGGCTACCCCATGGTCTAGCCCCAACAGAAAGAGTTGAAGACTGCCCTCACCCAGACTATTATATAGCCTGGTGGTTAGGGAACTCTCCTGGGAGTTGGCAGATGTGGTTTAACCCCCCCCCCCCCCAAACTAAGGAAAAACTCATATCTGCCACTTCCTGGGTGAGTTCTGTAATCTCTAATATGCTATGATGTAAAAGTGAGCCCTGACACCATGCCCAACAGGTGTATTTTCAAGTGCCAGCAGCCACTGGTGCTCAGTTTTGTGCTGTCAGATGTGCTTCATGGGAATTTAACAGATTGAATCCCTTCAGGGGTTCAGGTGCAACCCTAGCTCTGGTCCAGACTGCGGCAGACCTTAAGTGAGAGTTCGACGCCTACCTGTTGAACTCCATCATGCCTGGCCATGCTCAGTAGCCTGAAGTCTAAGAACTTGAGAATTGTTTCAGGCAGAAATAGGTGCACTGAACAAAAGAGGTGCCTCAGAGATTTTGCAGCAGCCGGGACAGGATGCACCTGGATTGCTTTTATCAACTTTTGATGCCTAAATTCTACCCAAGTCCCATTTAGGTGCCTTATTTACTGGTTTGGATCTGGCCCTTAGCTTCACTGTGCCTCAGTTCCCCATCTATGAAAAGCCTCCTTTTCCTTTAAGTGTGCAAGCCTCCTCCTAAAACTACTACATAAGTAATTAGATAGTGATGTCTGCCTATAAAAGCCTTACCTGCCTTCCTCCTGACACCATCAAGGTGACAATCCATAGAGTAAGTTCAGAATATATCTGCAAGCATGGATTCTGTAATCTTTCCTTCTTTGCCTTTCACAATTTTCTATTATTTGCCTGGATACAGCTATTCATCTGCCCACCAAATCCAGTCAACTAACACACATCTGCTATTATCGCAAGCCACTTCCGCACTCTTTGCTCCTTTATAATTAAACAAAAAAGCAACACACACATAAGTGATGTCCACCTGCCTATCCCAAGCTGCTACTAACATGGAAAAATTATGTTGTTATTTGTCCTTAATCAGTTGGACCTCATAAAGTCTGAAAGCATCTTCTCTATCTCCCCTGAAGTCAATGAGAACACATTTGAGCAATTTCCAGTCCAGTCAATGAACATTAATGGCTCTTAGCACCTCACAGGGCACGTCCACATGAGCGTGCACGTGCCTCTTGCCCCGCCTCAAACCCCTTTGAGGCGAGGCAACAGGCAGGTGTGGGAACAAAAAATTGTTTCCCACGCTGCAAGTTCGCAGCATGGGGAGAAAATTTGACCCCTGGACATTCAGGAGTCTAAAAAAAGCAAAGTATAAAAAAGCGGGGCAGAGCACAGTCCCCGACCATGTCCTGAGGCAACCGGAGGCTGGGTCCGCCATAGAGATGCTCTGGCTACCACAGTACCTCTGTGGTTGGCCTTCGCCCTGGTGCTGAAACATGGGGCCGGCCAGGCCACGTGTTTCAGCACCAGGGCTCCGGTGCCGGTGAGTAAGGGGTCGGGGGAGGCTGAAGGAGGGGGGAAGGGACTGTGGGGGGGACTCCGCCGGCCCTGCCCACTCCCCTAACCCCCCCGGC